ATTTGTTCGCAGTGTATCTGTCAGTTTTGGTAATTTTTCCCTCCCCGAACCAAAATCTAAGATCTTTCTCCGCACCTTCATGTTGATCTCTCTTATCATGTCTCGCGAAAGGTGTAAATACATACTGTTAAAAGACGATGAAATTTTGAAAAATATATCCTCTGAACTGCATTGATGTATGAAATGATACCCGAATGTATGGAAAGAGGAATTCACTATCACCCGGTTCCAATCGACAACTTTTCTTGAAGAAAGGCGACGTAGGCACTACTGCCATCTTCTCTGTTTTTGTCTTTGTCGCAGTAATGATATTGGAAATTGCAGTGATTTATCAACAATGATGGTGATAATGGGAATGACGATGACATTGATAATCCGATTATAGTTGATAAGAATCGTATTATTCATTTAATTTTAACTTAAAGGTTGCAAAATCTTCGCCAAAACATCTGCTAAAGCATGTAACTGGGGGTAAAAGTACTCCTTCCCCTTTCTTTCTATTTGATTACTTTTCCTTCGATGTTAGCTTACTGCTTACTTTTGAACTTCAAGAATTGAACAATGAGATTCGTTGTAATGAGTAGTTACCATAACACCTTTCTTGAAAAAGGCTTACACAAAAATGTTTTGTACAAAAATCATAATTTTACTCCTACAATTTGGTACTTCTTTACAATATTTCAGGTCATCTGACAACTAAGTTTGTTCCTCTGCGTTTCAATTTATGAGCTTTCATCATTTTTCTGCTTCATATTGCAGTTAATAACTTCGACAGAAGATTGAATTCCATAGAAAAAATGCTATTGCTGTTTCTCTTGTATTCAAATTAATTATTAGAAGGTTTTAATTGTTTTGTACAACGACTTCCCCATACTTGCTTCTCTCATCTTTTATAACTTATGACCCCTTTTTCATTGTCAAATAAATAGATTGTTTCTAAAGTTGTCTCATTACAAGAGATTGATCAATATTTCAAGATGCTAAATTCACTTTTAGTAAATTCAGATAATTACTAATCATCTACGATCACCTGTGTAAATGTGCTTGAGAAAGAGAAAGAGAAGGAAGGCATTGTACTTTAAAGTATAGGACTATTGAATAATGCCACCAAATTTTATTTATTTTCTAAAGGTTACATTTGTTTTTAGCAGCCAATAACTTCCAAAAATCAATGCTTCTTTTTCCAAATTATGAAAAAATCGAATGTTTACATCAAAAGTTTACATCAGCTTTTGGATAAATTTATCGACCAAACGTAAAACTGACTTTATGAACCCAATTAATTTCCCATAGAAATGCAAGACGGTTGTACTAATTTACATGAATTACTGTAAGCATACGCTAACAAAATATCTTATAGTATTTTACCAAAGAGATTAGCGGCAGCTTTTAAATAAAAAATAGTATTCTTATCAAAGGTTGGAAAATAAATTAAGGTGAGGAAATATTCGTATATACTGCATCAATATGAGGATCTGAAGAAAGTAGAAAGAGATTAGCAGTAGCTAAGAATACGGAAGAAAGATGACATGAAGAACTGATGAAAATAGGCAGGAGTGTCATGATTTATGTCAAAGTGAAATTTGAACACGCTGAACTTTGCTTTCGCATATGTTGATATAACATCTTGATGTAATTTTTACAGCTCCTAACAATTTAATGTTGGAATACCAAAAATCAATATGTCTTATAGTAAAAACTTACTTGAAACTTTGAAATCTTTTGATTAAAGTCTCCTAACAGTAAATTTATCCACAAAGGGAATGATCCAAAACTTGCATTGTGTTCTCAATTTTAAACTGGTACACCAACCATGACGTATCCATAAATCAATTATTTGACACTTATGTTCCTGTGTCAAAATATTATTCGAAGGTCTAAAATAATTTCTTTTCCATAGTTAATTTTCATTACAATGACGAATTTTGCATACTTCATATCTCTAATAAACTGATGAACACTTTCGAAGGTCTCAATTCATTTCCAGTTGCAGCGATGAGTCTGTCTCATTTTTTTTTCTTTTACCTGTATGAGTCTTACACATTCTCTCGTAAAAATTTGGAATAATTTCCACCAACATTCCCCTAATTATCCTTGTAATTTCATTATAACTCTCCCTTAACTACCAGTACTTCCACTAAAGCATCTTCGATCACTCCAATGTCTCCATTTTTGTAAAATTGTATGCTTTAACCAAACCCATTTCTCGTCAGTTTTGTTTAGTAGATCATTTCCATCATCAGCACTGTCATTTTCTTAATAATTTCATTTTGAAATTTTCGGCAATGTTTGAAGATACCTGACTAAGATTCTGATTATTTCATCAATTATATGAAAATGAGGGAGGCTTAGGGAATTGAATTGAAGTTTCTTAAACAATGTTTGAAATTTGAAATTATTGAAAATATTCATTGCACGATTCAATTGTCACCAAAATGAATTTGCTATCAAACTTCAATCTAAAGCTTGTCGCATAATCTGATCATTTTCATCTAAAATGCGAGGAAATGCTACACACTATAACTATATTGAATTATTTTAATCAAAATTTCTTTTGAAAATGTAATACAAACTATAATACTTTATTGAAATTTCCCCCATGTAATGTATTTACTTTTCATTTCCCATTGCATTTTACGGTGTGGTCAAATTTTCCTCAATTTTTACAAACCAGTAAGGCGATATATATTAAAAACAAGAGGATACATTTTTAATAATAAGTATTTCGTACATTTTATCGGAAACAGTTTCCATTGTTATTTTTGTTTTAGTTTTTTTAAAAATACTTTCAGCATTTTATGCAAATTTTTTGCCAATATTTTGAAGATTTTTTAACAAAAAACTAGAAAAGAAAAAAGTACTAAAAAATGTGAAGTGTTAACATAAATCATTCGTTTTATTATGTCATGCTTTGTTTGTTCATAAAGCCATGCCTAACTTTTAGGAAGTCTTACGGAAACGATTAGCTAAGATATTCATTGATGAACTTCCAGTAAATGAGGCATTTGTGAGCCTAAGAAAAAGCAAATATTTGTCGAGAAAATGAAGTTTGCAAGTAAGATAACAGCTTCATTCTTCAACAAACGAATAATATCATTATTGAAAACTTGATAAATGAAGTAAAAACTCTCATGGAAAGAAAGTTGTGCTATACTTATAGCGAAGGCGACACCTTTCATTTTGCTTTAATAAGTGACACCCATCAATTCTGTTAATAGGCGTTCAGTTAGCATCTTTTTTTCTAATTCTTTTTTTTTTCTATAAATGTGAAACGCAGATTTAGTTTTTCTGCAAGAAGCAAATTAATTCATAAATTATGAGGCTATTTTGACGTATTAACAAAAAAATCCACATGGATGAAAATACTGCAAAGGTCATAAAAGTTCGGAATACACTATCGTAGGGTATCCATAATATATGGAGGATTTAGAAAATGAACTGAGAGATTAGCTTATTATTAGCATAAGCTCATCGACTGAAGATGAAAATTTTCCAACTAACAGCAAGTTTCACTAGTGCTTGAACTAAAGCGTTTGCTTTATTTACAGTAATTAAACCTATTGCTCCATTTTTTCCCCAAATCAAAAAACCTTACTCGATTCCATAAACAGAAGGATGGAAAAATTGAAATTAGCATCTATGACAGAGGAAGAGTAGAGTTATTTCCGATATTGACAGCATTCATTGATGTGTTGGTAAACACAACTTAATATCTTGAGTGCGTCAAGGACGCTTTTTATACTAACTACTATAGTGTCTCAACTTAGTTATCACTTCAACTTGAGGCAAAAGGAATCTTTTTGTCTGTAAAAAAGTTTTTCTTGGTTATTAATTTGTTGTTTTCAATACCTGCTGAATATTATTTCAATCTTATTGTCCAGTTGAGAGTTCCAAGATGGCAAATTAACTTTTTTTAAAAAAAGAAAGAAAGGGAAAAAGTAAACCGTAATAAGTAATTTGCTCAAAAATTCATAGTAATTACAATTTATCATTTTCAAAATTTTCAAAAACACTACTCAGAATTCGAAAACGGCACGCCACACGCACATCGATGACAACACTGCATGTTGTGTAATGTACCGTTATTAATATGAGATAATCAAATGCAACGATTTCAAAATGAAAGAAATCGGTTGAAGAGGTCGAGGTCGATGATTGATGAGTCTATCCATTGATTATAGTGCAGCCAAAATCATTCGCTAACATGATCAAGCGTTATCATGATAAGGTGAGCAGGGAGATGTATTCATATTAGTTGCTTTCAAATAATTTTCGATAGTGGACACATTTTTTTTTTTCTATTTCATCTGTTCTTCTATTTCATTTTTTCTTCTACTTCATCTGTTCAGACAAGCAACTCTTATACTGATAGATTTAAATGATAAAAAAAGATATGGTGATATGTTTGGGAGGGGAGGGGGGAAAAGATGATTTGCTTAAGAAAAAGTGTGTTGATATCCTTGAGCTATTTTACTTATGTTTATGACATCAATTTGGAAAATAATTAAATCATTACCAGTATTCCCTATGGTAATTTTGTTTTTTTATTATTCTTATTCTTTTTACGAAGTACAAGTACCGAAATTCAGCACATTTGTTCATGTACCATGAAATCACATGATAATTTGTTACATGTTAAGTGAAATTTGTACTTGGTATAGATTGTTCGATATCACTAGCAGTGTGAAGAGGAATGCAACGTGTTGGAATCAGTTGCAGCAGTTAATATCACTTTCAATTACAATTATTTCTTCTTCTTGTCATAGTAGCAGGTTTCAAGAAGGGGCAGAGATAGTCTTGATTCGTTTTTCTCGTTTTGATCAGAATCATTGTTGATAAGTAACGGGTACATCGCAAATGTTGTCGATAGCGTCGGGTAAGAGAAGAAGGACAAGAGGAGAGGGAAAAGGTGGGGTTTTGCGTCGAGACAGCACACCACCATACTTGACAACAACAGTTTTCAAATGGTAGCCAGTTTTGCCCCGTTTTAAACTTCATCATCAACCTTTCATGTCATCTCTTTCGCCTTCTTGTGAAAAATTTTCCCAAAATAGGTCCTCAAGAATGATTGCCTTTTCAGTCTTTTCAAAAGTGGTTGTCGATTTTAAATTAAATACCTTTATTCAAAACACTAATTCATCAGTAATATAAAACTGTATCTGCAGTAATGATAGCAAATAATGATAATGTATGGTAATGACTATCAAATGACAAGCAATCTCTTAGGGAAAATATTTGTAGCCATAACAATGATGATAACGATAAATAATACGGTATTGAAAAATTGGAATGATGATGATAACGATAATAAGGATAATGACTGCGATTATCAGTGATAATAATGGCAGTCAGTTTGCTGGATGAAAAACTTAGTTCATAAGCAATGCAGAATATCAAGACGATGGCAATGGTGAGATCCAAAAATACGTTTATATTCTATTAAACCTAATTTGGACCTGTTTCTTCTCCCCACCTTCTCCTTTTTCTTCAATTCCTTTAAACCAGCCTTTGTCAGATTCCTGTTCTACGAGGTAAGTACCAACAACCATATGTGATACCTTCAAGGACCTGCATCAAAACTCGCTCGTTTGCACAAGTTGGCACACCCACAAACTGTCGCATTGCCATGATGATTTTGGTAAAAAGGCGATAAATTTGTCTTGATTGAACATTTTTCAATTTTATGGTGGTTTAATTATATAAAAAGGAAAAAGGTGCGAACAAATTGGTCGCTCTCTTTACTCACGTGCGTACCGTAAACAGATGTTAAGGCAGACGTATGAGAGATTGGTGCAAGACCGGTATTCCTCGGAAAATGTTTTGAAGTAGTTAGATGCCACAAGTTAGCTTTTGGTTCTTTTTGTTTCATCTATACAACTTTTCAAATCAAATTTGCCATTAGCCAGCTTGTCAGCGAAACTTCTACTAGTTAATCTAAACTTGAATTCTTATTACAACAACAGTTTCATTAACAAGCTGAACTAAGCTTAAAAATCAAGGAAAATTGGACGTTTGGATGAAATATGTAATTTCTTTAATATCGTAAAATAAACGGTTTGGGACGAAATTTTTTCACAAAAAACTCTTTTACCAATTTTCCTTTTCCTTTACTTTTCCAAGTAAAACTTCATTTTTCAGTTTATTCCGAAAATTGAAAGGCGCGAAAAAAAGAGCGATGCATTAATTTTTATTTGTTTATTATAGTTGCGACTGAATAAACGAATTGAAATTGAATTTTTGGTTGAAGAAACCAATTTAATCACTTATTTTTTTGTTGATTTACATGCTTGGAATCACCACAATTTTTGAAATACAATTTTCCCATAATTTATTTTTGAAAAATTTTTGACCCTCATATCCTGCCACCAAGTTATCAGCTCATAACTAAATTTAATTTTTAATTGAAGTGAAAATCCTTTCGGTAGAAGTCGTTTTATGCTATAAGCCTAATATTGTGCCATAAGTCCACTTTCTGACTCCTGTTACTGGACACTTACTTTCACTTCTTCCAAGACTTTTACTTCTTTTCTCAGTTTTTGTAAATAATTGCATACTTATTCCATTGTATTCCCTAAGAAGGATCGATCATACACTTTCATTTTCTTCACTTCACTTGTAGAACTGATCGAATTATAAAACTTTCGAAAACCCAACTGATAGAGTGGAACAAAGTTCTCGAATGTTAAAAATGCAATAAGAAGCGTCGGGAATAAAAATGTGCACAAAGAAAGTTAATTTAAGCTAATGGAAATGAGGATTATTCGGCTTCTATACTTCCAAGTTTACAATTTTTTCCTTTCTGCTTCAATTCATCTCTCCATGCATATTCCAAGATATGCGAAAATCTTCCAACATCTTCGGTTCTTTCCAAAGTTTCTTTTTGTCCAATGTCTCAGAGTGATACTGTGAAATTGAAATGTTTCCCATTTCTTCCCGTTCCTTTCCTTCTTTCCCGTACTTTACCTTCCAATTTCAAAAGCCAACCAATAAATGTCATTAGTTGATTTACAATTTGCAATATGCTAAATATTTCGTTTCCTTAGACAAAGTCATGCGACTTTCTTCTTCCTTTCTTCTTCCATCGCCATCCTCTCAAAACGTTTTATGCATACAATTTTGTTTGCCCTTCCCCTAAATACCGAATCACTTCTCCTTCGACATCTCCGCATAGTTATTCATCATGACAGTCGCTTTTATTGTATTCAAATGTAATCTAAATAGATCACGAATCTTAATAAGAGAATGAGGAAATTCCCCATGCTCTTAAGCACCAATACTTTTTTTTTCAAAAAAAAATGAAACCCAAATGTTCTTTCTTCTTTTTTGATTCAGCTCTACTATTTAAAAAAGTTTGAGAAATATGGTTGCTTTGGAACCAAGCATGAATAGGTTCATAAAAAGATATATTTTTTGATGACCCAAATGGGAAGTGAATCTTATTATTGGCTTTTGATTTGTTTCATTTTTGACTAATGACTGCGTAAAGAAGAACTTGAGAAATATGCATCTAAAAAAGATTTCCTTTGGCCAAAATTGTCACGAACTTTTCCCCAACACATTCCCTATGATAATGCGACAAAGATTGATAAGGATATTAGTGTTACTCATTTTTGCTATGAACTTATATTATTTTACTCTTCATCAATCAAATGTTATGCATATTTCAAATATAAAGTCGATCCATATAATGTCGTGCAAGCATTTGCATTTTAATTAGAAGTATTATTACTTTATACGTTTTATGCAAAATCAGCCCATATCAAATCGTTTGGCGCCACTGATACTGTTAGTATTTTGATAAATGATGTCTTTATTGCATATGATATGATGCCATGCGAACCGTATATTTTCCGTTGCTGATGCGAGATGATCGTAGGATTGCATGGGAAATAGGGGTGATACTGTCACCAATCCGCTTGCTGATGATTAATTTTTTTATAAAATTTCTTTAAAACTTCTATAACTTCAATAGTTGGCATATGCTTTCGATAGCGCGATACTATAACACTATTTAAGAAGCTCAGTCAATAGTTTCCGAACAACCTAAAACACTTGATTATGTTCCATCATTTCATCAGGAATGCAACTAGCATTTTCTTCTCTTGAAACCTTTATCTAACCTTCTTCATTTATTCTGCTTCCAATTTACGACGGCCACTTTGCGATCATTCGAATGAATATTTTTTCTGTCTTGTAGGGCATGTTTTGCCTCTTCCTTCAAGATGTAGAATTTATCTGTAATGCAGTTTCCAACCATGTTCTTTCACTTGGATCTTATAAGGAGTATATGGTGACATATGCACCATTTCAGTTACAATGTCTGATTCCAAAAATATTTCAAGATAATATTTAGATTTGCAATGTCTTCATCAAAAAATATGAACTGTAAACAATCATATATTAGGTTTCTGTTCAAATTAGGATCTCAAAGATAGACATGATTGATTGACTGGCTTTTAAGTTTTTCAGCTCTCTAGGAGCTCGTGTTTGATAATGAAATTCGAAACACTAACTTCTTCTGTTTGTCTAATTCTTTTTATGAGCAGTGGAACCACTTTTACGGAAGGTTTGTAAGAAAGAGGCAATTTAAATATCGGCATTACTATTACTAACTGTTATATCTTATTGTATCGTAAATGAATAATGCTTTCAATTCTTCCATTACATTTGCTCATCAAAAAGTAAAAAAAAAATTTTGAAAATAAAAAATAATAGAAAAGAAGACGAACTGTTCAAAAGACAACTTTGTTTTGCCATTATCTTCCACATTTAAATTCATTCTTTTACTAATAACAAAACGATTATTTGTTCTAACTATGTACTAATAAACAGTGTTACTTGTGACTTTTGTTTTTTAATCAAATGAATTCATTTCTTTACAATCTGAAACTTAAATTTTGTAGACCGATCGGTCAATATTTCTTTTATTATTTTTTGAATGTTTTTACAAAAAAAAAAACCTTTACCTAATAATTTATATTTTTCTTCACAAAATTGTCGGATTAATTTAAATCACCAACTGATAATTCAAGATATAAAAGGATGCAATAGGAAATGAAGGAAGACACTGCATCAGAATAAACTTAGATTTGTTATCGAGAATTATTGGGGCGGATCGAATGCATTCCACTTAAATACATATTACAGCCTACTAATACAATGTTTATTCATTCTGACGATTAGTTCAAGGCTTTATAGGATTGTAAATGGAACAAACTGAATTCTGAGTTACCGGTGATCCTTCCACTCATATTCATGGTCTGCACAATATTGCATTTCACTGTTAGCAGTGTTGCCAAGGTATATAATAAATGTATTGCCAATGCTACCAATGTAAAAAGTTAATTAGTCAAAATTTGTAGGATAGGTCGGATTAGAGTCTAAAATGAACTATGACCTTTCATACTTTTTCTAAAATAAATATCAATTTTTTCTTTTTTTGTTCCTTTTTTATACTTTTCACCTCATAATATTTCATTCAAGTACAATTTGAAATTTGCTTATTAAAAACAGTTTTTAATTTATAAACATTCCGTTTTTTTGATTCCTTTCTTTCACGAAGAAAATAAAAACTTTGAAATGAAATATATTAATAAACGAAAGAGTTTCGAAATATTTATTTATATTTCACTTTGAAGTGCCTAAAACCTTTAGTGTCGTTTTGATGATTTTTTAAAAATTTATATCAAAAAATACATCCTGCTTAGTGACATCATTTATTGTCTTTTCTATCGTCCTCATACCAATAAATACCCTAACATTACATCAACACCACTCCCATCATAATCATGATCATCGACACCAATATCATTATTATCCTCATTATCACCGCAGTCATCGTCACTAGCAATTTCTGACCACCGTAACTATCTCGATAATTGCTATCACTTTTGCAATTATTACCATCAAACTATTGCTATCTTCATAAACATCATCTTTGTCATTGCTCTCGTTTTCCACCAAATCTTCTTTTATTATCATAGTCTGGAGATTCTGGAGCATTTTGTTACTACCCTGAATTAAGGATCAGGAATAAGGTCAGTTACGATCTATAGTTTCTTGTCTGAAAAGTATACTGTAATAAGGTCAGTTATAACCTATAGTTTCTTGTTTTTTGAAGGATGAACAATTATTCAACAATTACTCAAAACATAATACATATGGTTAACATAAGAATATAAATACTTAATAAATACAGTTTATATAGTTTAAAGTTAATATTAATTGAAATATGAAATGTTTTATATTTTGATATAAATTTTTATATTACTTTAATGGTACTATTACTTTTAGGAGATGGAATGGAATTTTTTCAGTTTTTTCTTTAATGATAAAAAATTTTCAAAAAATTATTCCAGAAAAGTATACTGTAATAAGCAAGTTTTACTTCTACTACGCTTTTTTTTGAATTATTCCAGGAAAATATACTGTAATAAGCAAGTATTAGCTATTCCCATATTTTAAACAATATACAAAGCAATCATTTCTGTAACGAAAAAGGGTTCATGTTCATGGATTAAAGACATTGCATTTCTTTCTAAAGTGTATCTCTAATTGATTATTTGGTTGATCCAGACTGACAATTTGAAAATAAATGAGAAAAAAAAAAACTAACTTCAAACCTTGGTTTTGCTATTTTTTGAAAAATGATTCTAAATACTTCACGTTTCAAACATGTTTTTGATGGCGCATCTTGTTGTTGTTTAGTACTGCTCACAATTCATTCCATTTGGTCTTCAAGAAAGGAAGATAATGCTCATAAATTATTTTCAATCATTTTACAACATGCATACCCTCTGTTATTCTATTTAAAAATGTCCCTTAGTTTTTAAGCTTTTTTTTGTGCTTTATCTTAATCGTTGGATATTGTAATTTGTGATTGTTTTAAGAAATTTTCAAATTTAAAAAAAAAAAAGCATAATGCTAGAAAGATAGTATTAACAATTGAATTCTAGGCCATCGCGCTATGCACTTCTAAGAACTTTTCAAGCATACAGAATTAGACTTGAAATTTCAGTGCATTGTTCTACATACAATAAGATTTGTCATGACTAATTTCTTCTGCCACCTATTTCCGCTTTTTAGTCTCCACCTCTACTACTATCTTCTTGGATGGTTAGCTATTGAATAATCGTTTTGCTTCTTATTAGTAACATTCGACGTTACCGACATACACTTGCAGCTAGGCCAGCCATTTAGGCAAGTGACATACTTTGTCTTATGAATGCGATCAGTGCTAAAGACAATGACAAGTAAAGTAAGCCTCTCAATCCCACTAAAATAAATCTGAGGATCTTTGTCATATTTCTTTACACTATTCTGGCACTTTCAAAAATGTTTCTATTTTTTCGAAATATTTAATTACAATAACTTTAATTAGAGCCTTATCAAATTTTTCATTGGTTTACATAATGATCACTGATTTTATAAACAGTTTGTTTTCCGTAAGACTGTGAATTATTTCTTCACTCCACTACTCGTTCTGTCATTAAGAACGTTTGCTTTTCTTTTGCTTTTTTTTTTTTTTAATGACGACCTCTGCTTTCCGTTATCAATCACTGCTTTTAATCGGATCCTACTGAACAGCTGTCACCCCTTTCATAATATCGATAATGTAACAAAGTTTGCTCAATCAAGTCAAGCGACCCCTTTGATAAAATTTGTCCATCAATATCAGGCTTATACTTGAATATACTTAAAGATTTAAATACCAATCATCGCTAAACATCGCCATTTCGTATTATTGTTCAGCCCGTACTTATTTAAAAGGCTTGAAAAAAGCTCCAGTAACACCTTTGAGGTTGAAACTCTGATAAACTGATATATTTTCCACTTCTACTTTTCTTCCTCATTCTTCTGTAAGCTAATGCTCATTTCTCTATTTACAATTTTTTTTTTTAATCAACAATGGCGTTATTTATTCCATCGTTTTCTTGACCGAACTATTCTTCCATTCTTTCTTCTTTTTCAAAAATTTGTATTTCCAGGCTGTGTTGGTGAAGTAGTATTTGTTCGCTGTTGACTTCAGTGTGCATATCAAAATATTTTCTCCTCTTATAAACAAAAAAAAAAAAAAGAAAATAAAAAGATAACTATTTATGTTGTGCCACTGATTTCATTAACAGTGGTGACGAAAACGACAGTCCAATAAAAATAGACAAATAAAAGAGAAGAGGAATAGAAAATATCAAGTCGATTATTTGGAGTTTGAAGAAATAAAGAATTTACAAAGATAAAAGACAAACTCTGAGATATATGTCCTCCATCACGTACATTTATGCAAACTGGCACCTGGCTAGCAGCGATAATGACTTCGCTTCTTGTTATTATCGATAATCACTACTGCGTTTCATATACTGCTGATACT